CCCTTCCTCAGAATGGTTCTGAGGAAGGGTCACCGGACCCGAAACGTTAACTCTGTTTTTCCCTTCACAGATGCTGCCAGACCTGCTGAGCTTTTCCAGCAACTTTTGTTTTTGTTCCTGCTTTACAGCATCTGTAGTTATTTCGGTTTTGTTTATATTCAATAGGACTATTTAGTTTTAGATGAGAAGAAGCAATGAATAATGTGTACAAAATTTCATCACAATGCACTAAGCGTGTGTTAACTATTTAATATATAACTAATTTTGATTTCTAAATGCAATAAAAATGTTTTATACATGTAATTATACACAACATCTGCTTCAAGGAAACCAGGCCAGGAAAAGAGTAAAGTTTGAGTATGTCATTTCTAATTTTTGGTTCTTTCGCAAACTGCAAATCCCAAATATGCACATGGTAATTCAAGTGTTTTTAAAAATGCACATCATGAAGGTTTTTATTTATTTTTTAAACTTTGAGTTTTAGCCCATAATTTTGTTTATATTTTGTTCTTCTTGGGGAAAAATGCTGAAATAGGTCAGCTTCCTCTTCAGTTTACTTTATGTAATATCTTGACATATAGTACTCAAACGAGCTACAGTTTGGAAAGTTAGTCTATTTGATGGCGAAACTGGAATCATGCAAATGAACCTCACCAAGCCTGTTGAGTTTACCTGAGTATTTCCAAACTAAATCACATTTTGATGGTGAAACAATTTCATACAATTGAAGTTACATTTTCTTCTGGACATTAGTGGAAATCATAATAGAGATTTGGTGGTTAAAAACCAAGGTATTTGAATTGATACAGTGTGGAGCTGGAGGTACACAGCAGGTCAGGCAGCTCAGAGGAGTAGAAGGGCCGACATTTCGGGTCGGGGCCCTTCATCAGAACATTGTTCATACTGCTATTGCAGAACATTGCAAAATAACTTAAATTCACTATGATGCGGCATTTCTATCATACTAATTCTGATAGTACCTTTTTAATTCATAAAACAATAATGCATCAGTTAATCTTACAACGCCATGCCTGATGTGAAAGGCTGAAGATTGTATAGAATAATGCTGGGTTAGTTTTTTCTTGAGTCAGCTTTGAGGAAAAATACTGTGTTATCTATATTTGTTTTACACTTAGAACAAACTAGCTTACAACAAATGCATTTTAGTTCTCTGAAGTTTCGTATGATTTTGTATTGATATAGTGACACATGCATTGTGACTCTTATTGATACACAGTCATTATTTCTCTCTCTATCCTTTGCAGTCTTCACAGGAAGGAACTGTACAAGGAACAAGGATGGACAGGGGAGTTTCAATGCCTAACATGCTGGAGCCAAAGGCAAGTCTACAAAAATCAGTAAAATTGTGGATATATAATTTTTTTAAAAAAAAGCTTACTGAATATGATAAGAATAACTTAAGTAGGCAAAAAATTCAGCTGGTGTTTCCCAGACAAATTGGTGTACTTCCAATTATCAGTGCTGATAGGTCTACATCAGCAATAATTTCCATCCAGTTTCAGTTCTTCCTGTGGAGAAAGGGTGTAGTCCCAGCAGATAACCTCTCCAAATTCACAGGCAAGATTGCAAACTTAAAACCGCATGGCCAGTTAGCCTACATCCACCCATTGTATCAGTATTTCTGTTATTTCTGTATTCCACTATGTCGCACTTTCTCGTGGTGAGTATGCTAGATTTGTGCATCACTTTTAAAAAATAGTCATTTGCTTTTCCTTCACTTTGGCAGGAAATGAATGGGAACAAATAAGTTTGCAAGGAGAGAAAACCTGTTGAAAATAGACACAGAAAATAAACTTGAAAATAAATAAATAGACAAAACATTTGGCGGGAATGACCCTGACTTGTCTCCTATTAATGTAGATCCTAAGTCACGACTTGGGATTACATTTAAATAAAATGAAATACTGCAAATGCTGGAAATCTGAAATTAGAACAGAAAATAATGGAAATACTCAGCCAGTCAGGCCCTGGGGAGAGAAATAGAGTTAATGTTTTATGTAGAATATGAATGAAGAAGAGTTATATTTGAAACGTAGCATTAATTCTGTTTCTCTGTTCATGGAGACTGCAGACCTGTTGAGTCTCTCCAGTATTTTCTATTTCTATTTTGTCAGAGAATCTCATTAATATGCAGCTAACTTTGTCAGCCTCAGATAAGTATGTATGTATTCGGGACTCCGGGTGGAATTTAACATCCTCTTATGTGTCAAATTTGCTGGTGGTTGCATTTAAAGAGCTGCGAGTGTGGTGGGTGGGAACACCACTATCTTCCCATCTCTGCCTCAACTAAATCCACAGCAGGGCACCAACTCCAATTGAGGCCCTTAATAGGGACTCACCAAGTGAGACGCCATGAAGTAAGCCTAGTCGGGATTGCTTGCAAAACTTCCATGGGGATACCTTGTTCAAAGATACTCAATACCTTACAGAGGGACTCAGCATTGTGAAGATGGGGATTTGGTGGGTGTAGATTGCCTGACCCTCCTCCCCTGTGACCTACCACCCCATGACACCCCTCCTCCAATGACTTGTGGCTGGGTCCGTCCTTGAACCTTGGCCTCTGGTGGGTGCAGTATTGGCAGCAACTGCTGCTTTCCCACTGGCACTGTCAACCAATGAAGAGCTGCTAACGCTGATTGACTGTACAAGAGTGCTGATGGGGATTTCACATTGTTGAGATGAGTCAAAATGGAAGGGACAGGTAAAGAGGGAGGCAATGGCCTAGTGGTATTAGGGGAGGCAATGGCCTAGTGGTATTAGGGGAGGCAATGGCCTAGTGGTACTATCTCTGGACTGTTAATCCAGAGGCCCAGATAACATTCTGGGGACCCGGGTTCAAATCCCGCCACATGGTGGAATTTGAATTCAATAAATATCTGGAATTTAGAATCTAATGATGATCATGAATCCATTGTCGATTGTCAGGAAAAAACCATCTGGTTCACTAAGGTCCTTTAGAGAAGGAAACTGTCATCCTTACCTGGTCTGGCCTACATGTGACTCCAGACCCGCAGCAATGTGGTTGACTCTGAACTGCCCTCTGTGCAATTAGGGATGGACAATAAATGCTGCCTAGCCAGCAATGTCCTCATCCCATTAACGGATAAAAAAAGAGACACGCTATGTTGTAAGTTCATTGTTAAGGAATGGCAATATAATTCCAAGTCAGGATGGTGAGTGGTTAGACGTGGAACTTGTAGATCATTTTGTTCCCATGTATCTGCTGCTATTGTCCTTCTAGGTGGTAGCAGTTGTGGGTTTGGAAGATGCTGTCTAAGGATCTTTGGAGAATTTTTGCAGTGCATTTTACAGATGGTACACATTGCTGCTGCTGAGTGCTGGTGATGGAGGAAGTGAATGTTTGTGTATGTGGTGTCAACCAAGTGGATTGCTTTGTTCTGGATGGTGTCAAGCTTCATGGGTACTGTTGAAACTTCATTCATCCAGGCAAGTGGGAGAGTATTCTATCATACTCCTGACTTATGCTTTATAAATGGTAGGCAGGCTTTGAGGAGTCAAGAGGTGAATTACCTAACACAGGATATCCACCCTTTAGCTTGCTTTTGCAGCCACTGTATTTATGCAAAAGCTATGTGGCTAGTCCATTTAAGTTTCTGATCAGTAGTAACTCCCAGGATGTTGATGACGGGGGATTCAGTGATTGTAAGGCCGTTAATGTCAAAGGGTGATGGACAGTTAAATTCTCTTTTGTTGGAGATAGTCATTGTCTGACACTTGTGTGGCGTGAACGTTACTTGCTTCTTGTCAGCAAAAGGATATTGTCCAGGTCTTGCTGCATTTGGACATAGACTGCTTCAATATCTGAAGTCACCAATGGTGCTGTGCAAACATCCCCACTTCTGACCTTAGAGTGGAGGGAAAGTCATTGATGAAGCAACTGAAGATTGTTTGGGCTAGGACACTACCCTGAGGAACTCCTGCAGTAACATCCTGGAGCTGAGATGATTAACAACCACAACCAGCTTCCTTTGTGCTAGATATGACTCCAATCAGTGGAGAGTTTTCCCCATGATTTGCACTGATTCTAGATTTGTTAGGAACAAAAACAAAGTTGCAGGAGAAGCTCAGCAGGTCTGGCAGCATCTGTGAAGGGAAAAACAGAGTTAACGTTTCGGGTCCCGTGACCCTTCCTCAGAACAGATTTGTTAGGGCTCTTTCATGCCACACTCGGTCAAATGCCCTTGGTGTCAAGGGCAATTGCTCTCATCTTTTGATATTCAGCTCTTTTGTCCATATTTGAACAAAATATGTAATGGGATCAGGAGCTGAGTGGCCCTGATAGAACCTAAACTGGGCATCAGTGACCCGGTTTTTATTAAGTCACCCAAAATGAAGGATCACTGGATCCAAAATGTTATCTCTGCTTTCTTTCCACTGATGCTGTCAGACCTGATGAGTTTTTCCAGCAATTCCTGATTTTCTTTATTATTAACTAACTGCTGCTTGATAATACTATTGATGACATCTTCCATCACTTTATTGATGATTGACAGCAGACTGAGCAGGTGGTCATTGGCTGGGTTGGATTTGTTCTGCTTTTGTGTGCAGGGCATTCCTGTGCAATTTTCCACATAGTATGGTTGATGCCTGTGTTGTAACTGTACTGGAGCAGCTTGGCCAGGGACCTGGCAAGTTCTGGAGCACAGTCTTCGATACCATTGGTGGAATGTTGTTGGAGCCCATATTTTTTGCCGTATCCAGTGCCTCCAACTATTTTTTTAATCACATGGAGTGAAACAAATTGGCTAAAGACTGGTAACCTGGGGATGTCTGGGGGAGGCTGAGATGGATTATCCACTTTCAAATGGATTATCCACTTGACACTTCTGGCTGAAGATTGTTACAAATGCTCAAGCCTTATCTTTTACACTGATGTGTTGGGCTGCCCACTCACCACTTAAGCGATAATTGGGGAGTTGTTATGATATGAAATTTGCACAATTGTCATGTTTTGGGACTGTCTCTTTAATTGACAGTAAAATGCAGAAATGAAAGGGGTCACATTACTTGTCTGAATTCTGCTGATCAACAGCTTTGGGTTGTATGTGATGATACTGTGGATTTAAGAGGTGTATTTTGTCCTTTTTTTAAATGAAGGGAGGTTGAAACAGGGGTACCAAATGATCTGCTGAAATCCAATAAAGTAAACAACTTGTGAGGCCTTGGGATTTTTTTTTAATGTTGGAAAGGAAGTAACATGAAGGCTAGAGTCAAGCTCCACAGAACCAGGATTTTTAGTTTTAACTTTCTGCATTTGTGGGGGTCTTGAAGCTGTATGTGGAAGCTCTTATTCTTCTCTCTGCTACAGCTAAAAGCAGGGGTTCTCTTCCAGCTGCTAGAATTGCATGAGAAATATATTTTCTGAATTTGCTTTTGCCAAGGGTGTGTTTATGGGATGTTACTATCTTGCAATAGTTAATTAGTAGTAGTTAATATATACATTATTTTGTTAAGCATTTCAATACCGTTACAGTTAAGCTAATTCTTTTCTTTTATATTTATTTTGTCTGTATTTTAACTGTAAAAGTAGTGTGTTTTGCTTAAAGTCGAGTAGTTTGACCCATGGAATTGCATCTGGAATGTAATGCCGTACACTTACCTTTAAAATAAGAAAATGTTAGGGTCTAGGCTATCCTCTTAATATATTTTGAGGGAGTTTGGTCTGGTCCATAACAAGTACAGTACAGTTGTTAAAGAAGGATTCTGTAACTGTGTTGTTAGTGGGTAAACTGTGAATCTCCAAGTCACAGGGAGGTGTTAGGAATGTCAGATTTTAAATGACTACACTTTTTTTATATTGCCTATTTAATTCCAAAATAGAATGGAGTTGTGGGATTCACACAATAGCTAATTAGCCTTTCTAATTGGATGCAGATCCCATGCGATACCTGTTGCCATGGAGGTTGCCTTTGAGAGTGAGGAGACTAAAAGAAATAATTATTGACTGAGCTTTCAGGTTTTCTTAAAATATTTCTGAACTTAAAAACAGGACAGCCTGCTAGAACTTGCGAAACAGAGAGAGAGATGGCAGTAAGATGGAGGCAGATAGTCCTGCACCTTAAACAAAGAAAATGCTGGCTCTGTTAGGCGCCATGTTAAAAATGTGTGGCAGCACACATTCGGTTTGAAGAGAACAAGTTCATGAGTTTCAGTCGATATTGGAACATTCACCTATTTTGGCTGGAGGAAGAATCACTAATTTATCCCTCTCTGAAAGTCAGTTCTGAGATTAGAAGTTATCCAGCTGGGAAAGGAAAAGAAAGGAAGCAAGGGCTATGAGGTGGCAGCCTGAAAAGTTGAGTTGAGACCATAATCAGGTCATCTTTGATCTTTTTTTTTGAATAGAATCCTTACAGTGTGGAAACAGGCCCTTCGGCCCAACAAGTCCACGCCAACCCTTGGACCATCCCACCCAGACCCACCCCCTATAACCCACCTAATCTACACACCCCTGAACAGTACGGGCAATTTAGCATGGCCAATCCATCTAACCTGCACATCTTTGAGCACCCAAAGGAAACCCATGCAGACACGGGGTGAATGTGCAAACTCCACACAGACAGTCGCCTGAGGGTGGAATTGAACCTAGGTCCCAGGCGCTGTGAGGCAGCAGTGCGAACTACGGAGCCACGGTGCATTTACTTGCACCACTGTACATCCTTATTGAATGATGAAGCAGACTTAAGGGTTGGTAAGGTCTATTCCTACCCTTAGTTCTTGTAAGCCCTCTGGAGTTAGGAGTCACTTTACACTGGTTTCTGGAGAATGAAGTGTCCCTTAAGGGACATAGCCATCAAGGGATATTTTCCGTCATTTTAAAAATTAAATGGAGATGTTTTCTGTGGTTGAGATCATATTACTGAATAGTGTTTAGAATAGTGTTGCTTTAGTTTGTTGGTTACAACAAAATAGTTTAATGTGATCGTTCCAGTCAGCCTCTGAAAATTGTTAAATCTTTTAGAAGTTATTGATCTGCACGAGGATCATAATAATGCCTTATTCTATAGATTATAATAGAAGATGTAAAAAGATGCTTGCTACTTATACTTAATGAAGATGAGTAGATCAAATTGAATTTCCTGTACTGATATAAGTTTTCCTCTATTGTGCAGATTTACCCTTATCAAGTGCTTTCAGTGACTAACAGGGGACGCAGCAAATTACCAAGAGATGTAGACAGAACAAGACTGGAGGTGAGAGCATGGACTGCCCATGAAGAATTGGGAAATGAATATTACTGTTTGGGAATTGGAAAGATCACTAGTTCCAAACCTAATAAACTGACTTGTAATGCTCTGACTTTCAAATGTGTGACCACCTGGATGAAAAAAAAAATTATGCCACTGGACTCTGTCATCCTGAAAGGGTTTCAGGATGGTGCAGTTGTTGTGTGGTATGATGTCTTCGGTTCAGCACATGTGAGATTCATTTCAGGCATCAGATTAAATATTCAGTATTACAAAGATAACACTTTGATATGAAGGAAACTGTTCTTTCCATCACCAATGTTTGCACTGAAATCTACAGCACCCAAATCATAGCATTTTGGTCCCCTTTAAATTACTTCCGTGTTTTGTTGAAATTATTTATTCTTTATTTGAAATACATTTTCTAGTATCTAGATTTCTAGATTTCTGAAGAAGGGTCCAGACCCGAAACATCAGCTTTCCTGCTCCTCTGATGCTGCTTGGCCTGCTGTGTTCATCCAGCTCTACACCTTGTTATCTCCTATTCTAGTATCAATGCTGGCTTTGTTCCAGCACTTGTGATTTAACTGAAAGTAAAATTCTGGATTTAACTTCTGCTCTGTCCTTGCTCATCTGCCTCATTTCCCGACTGCTTATCTTAGTCCACTGACACTACAGATTAACTGTGAAACTCTGTACTGTTTCCCCAGCTTGATGTATCTTGATGACTGAAACTAAAACATAATCTAATGTGCGCTTTTCTCAGCTAAAGTATTGTTGGAAAAGGAATGGCACCCAGTTAGTCAATGACTTGGGAGGAAATTATGCCAAGTGCATATAAAGAAAGAAAATATCTGATCATAGATATATAAATGTAACTTCAATGTTGTTGATGATCGTTGCAAATAACTTTAATAATCAAATACTTTTTCTTTATTATTTATTCTTCTAGCGTCATCTAGCCCCTGACGTTTTTTACCGTCTATTTAATATGTCTATCCAGGAGTTTGACAGGCTACCACTTTGGAAACGGAATGAACTTAAGAAAAGAGCTCACCTCTTCTAATCAACAAAATGCATGATGGAACTGGGTGACTGCAGAGGCCAAATAGCAATGTAATATTTTGTAAGGGAAGCATCCTAGAAGTTAACAAAAAAAAACTTCTGAAACATACCTGTGCTACTGCAGATGACCAGAGCAAGGTCAGAGAAATTGATAGTCGCATTAAAGTTGCTAGAATTTTGACCTGAGAATTCTATTGCAATTTCCTAAATAATATGAATGACAGTAATATCATCTCTTATTAAACAATAACTTTCTCTGACCTTTCTAGAATTAAAATAGATCGGTTATTGTACTGAGTTGGATTACATTTTTTTCTTTTATAAATAATTTGAATACCATGCTTTGGAAACATATTTAAATATTTAGCCATACTACTCTAAGCAAACTGCAGCAACCAGTGTTCTCTGCCTCGCACTGTGAAAGCCTGGGCTTGTGAACCGGAGAGGTGAGGGGACTAATTTGGAGTTGGTTTGTACAAAATTATGCTTTGGACTTGTATTGCTTGAAAACTTCTACACTGTGTGCTGTAGTTGAAAAGATGTATGTACAGCTGCTATTCATAATAGTCATGTCAGATATACAAGAAAAAATGATGAAAACAGAAATGTTCTTCAAAGTCAGCAGTTCAGGTTCATGGAGAAACGATAAAATGACTTCATATCAGTGTGTCACTTCATTCATTTGTATTGAAAACAAAACAGAAAATGTTGAAGTTATTGCCCAGATATTTTGTGTATTGCGTTGCTTGTATTTGTACTTGCCTTAATGTTATGAACTGTCACTTGCACCGATTCCCTTAGTACCAGGTCAGTCCTTTATTATGTTGTGCGTTTGGGACATTGCAAGTGTCATAAAATGACTATTTCATTTGCTTAAGTCCTTTGAATGAATGGGCCAGTGTTCATATCATTCCCAGCTGATATACAGTTAATAGCCTTGAAATTATAGCTTGGGGTCATATGTAATTATTCTGCACACTGTTTTAATCGAGGCAGTTACCATAGCTTACTGTCACTATTAAAATAGTGCATAAAGTAATGAATACAATAGTGTTATATTGTATAATTTCTAGACTAATATATTCCCACTTAGCAAAAAAAAGTTACATCATCTTTAAAAATATGATATAGTCTTATAAGGATGCTGCAGTGTGCCTGCCAAAGATCTTAATTGGAATAGATTTGAATGGATAGGAAATTTGATCCAGTATAGTGAGAGAAAATTATTATTTGTATATATGTACAAACTGTAGCCTCAATTCAATAGAAACCAGGCTTGAGAAGATGTTGCCTTAGACTAAGGTTTAATATGTTGAAGAATACAATAGGATAAGTGACACAACTGGTAAGCACTTTATCCTATCTGTGTTGCCAACCGGATTTTTTTATCCTGTGTAAATTAGTTTTGCTTGCCTTCCCTGACAGGATTCTAAAGTTATTAAGTAATTTCCCTGAGAGGATACATTAGGATAATACAGCACAAACAGACCCTTATAGCATTATCACTCATTGTTTTAGAGGCAATTAGTTTGCAGTCAGCTTATAGAATAAGTGAATTATATTTTGACTTTTAAATGCTTTCACTGAATATTACAAGTAAATATTCAATTAAATAAATCCAACAGTTCACACTGCGCTTTAAGATTATATCATCTTGTGTTTATAAAAGACAAAATATCTTAAAAAAGCAATTAAAATTAATGAATATTGGCAATATACCACATGGTTAACCCCAAGCAATATTTTGTTTCCTCAACCAAACATTTCATTTGCATTTCAATTTATCACCAGGTATTTAATTGTAGAATTTGTGTGCATTTTCTATATTTTATATCTTATGCATTTTATTTAATCTGAAATCTGGTTGCAGTGTTTCTAAATACAGTGGGGTGTAATTTTGACTTGAGCAGTAACAGAAAATGGACAATAGCATATCAACAGCCGAGTTACACCACTCGAGATTCGGTTTTATGTAATTAATGGAAAAGAGAATTAAGCTGGTGGCAAAACAAGTTGCCCTTATGTCAGTGCTCATTTAGTGTCCCTATCCAGTTTATATCCCAAGGTTTCTAAGGGTGCGTGTGAACTCAACATTCAGTGTGAGTGTAAGGTAGTTTTGCAGCAAAACTAAACTTGCATGTTGTAAATTGGGTGTTAAGTTTTGAACTGACTCCAAAATGAAGGACAGTGAAATTCACTCCTGCAGGGAGTCTCACTCTGTCACGCACCACTGTAGGGTTAAGCCTAACCTGGAATTTAGGCTATGGTCCACCTTACGAATTTCAGCCTGTCTCTATTTCTTGGTGTAAATCAGCCATTTATAATTCACTCCCAGCAGTACGTTGCGTCTAAAGGAAGGAGAGGGAAGTTGAACTTCTGCTTCAGGGGTCTAGAAATGGTCATCAATTCAGTATTGATAGATGAAAGTTAGATACCTTTACATAGTTCTTGCCTCGATTGCATAGGATCTTCATGCAAGCACTCTAACTCCTTAGCTGTCCTCGGACATTATCCACTGAATCCCAGGCAATGCAGTAGGGGCATGGATATTTAGTTGTACAGATCTTTGCTACTATTTCTTCTGCTTTTCTTTGCAGGGCACAAAGCAGAGGAAAGTAGGCCCCATAAGCTGTTGCAGGTGAAACACTGAAAACCATTTTGAATAATGTGTGTGATTCTGATAATGGGAGTTTGTTAGTGATTCTTAAAATTAACAAGTACTTGCCTGCTTGATTTTGTATGGAAACTTGCAAGAGGTCATTGTGTTCAGAGTTTTATCTAGCTTGTTGGATATACAAAGTTTTAAAAATGGACCTAATGCAAGTTGCCTCCAGAATTGTAAGTTCAATTCTGCTTTGTCCCCTCTGTGCTTTTTAATTGCAACTGCTAGCATTTGGAATTCATGAAGTATGTAGTTTTTAAAATAATGATGGAATTTAACATCTGAAGGAAGCATTCCGAATCAGTTGGAACAGCTAAGTATAGGAAGTGTGACCAGCTATTTTAAAGTTACTTTTCTTTTAGTCTATCAGTGAATGCCATGAATAAAGCAAAGTTTTCAGTGTTTTATTTATTGTCTTCCTTCTTTAAATTAGTCACACTAGTATGAATAAAAGTGTGAAGAATCATATTGACATTTTTACGCTGCACAGCAAATTTGCGCTCAGAGTTCAACAGTGAGCATAATGTTGGAGTCATGCTTTTTGTTTAGAGTCTCTGAGGCATGCCATATGGTTGCTTGGTAATAGTTAATTAACAGCTAAAATGTGTTGTGCAATATGGAGCAAATATAGAAGTAAGAATTTTCAAGCTACAGATTGAGCATTTTGGTTAAACTGGACTTCGTTGTTAGTTTTCTCATAAGACGTTGTAACTGGTGATTTAATGTAATGTTCTGTTTCATATTTAAATACTCCATTTTAGAAGCACTTTCCTAAAACAAGTAAACACGCTACGTAGAATTTACAGCAAGGGAACATACCCTTGAGCCCAACTGGTCTGCGTCTGAGTTTATGCTCCACGTGAGTTTTCTCCTTCACTTAATCCTATCAGCAGTCTCATCTTAATTTCAGAATGCAACTGAACCATTTTTAGTATCCTGTGTAATATGTAGTGATGGGAGCTGATTTCTTTTATACAGAATAAGCTCCCAGGGCCACAGTGCAGAGAGAGAGACACTGTAAAACTGTGACAGATGTCAAAGCAACTTAAAAAGATGCACTGAAGTCTTTACAAGTTAGTAATGGTGGCTGTAAATCTAAATAACTGTAACAGAAACAAACTGCAACCTGATAATTGCCAAACAAAATGAAAACGCTTAGTAATAAAGTCAAATTTCAAGATGAAATTTCTGACTTCTCACCATGCGTCATTGGAGTTGATATATATCGCTGAAACTGATGGACTGAGCTTGTAAAGACTAACTACATTCTGTCTGACTTTGTTTCATTAAACAGATTGTTTAATAAATGAACTTCTGCCTTATAAAATTACATTGAATGTCAAGGGTGTATATTAATGTATGTGTGTCTCTACTATAAATACAATTTATTTTCCTTGATCTCTCAGAACCGCACCCCTATTCTGGCCAAGAGGTTATGTTGAAGATCTGCTCAGAACCCACAGGGAATATTTGAGCTGTTCAGCCTATCTCCATTTCCCATTTTTCTTTGCCCTTTATAGATCTCCATTCCAGTGCCTTCTCATAACAGTGTGACTGAGACCATTAACTCACTGTGTGCAAAAGTATAGGTGGCTGGTTTGGGGCAAGGCAAAGTTTAAACTGATCCAGTCAAGAGCTCAAAAACTGTGTTTGAGACAGCATAGTAGAAGCAGTACCTTGTACTTCATTTGTCATACCTAGTGTGGGAAGTTGTGGATGACAAAATGTAGCAATTATAATTGTCCACAATAATATCCTTTGCCTTTACTCTGACAAGGTTAGTTGAAGTCACTAGATATACTGTAAAAAATTCAAATAAATTAGCGGTTTCACTCACATTATTTAATTACATTTATCAGAAAAAGAGCATCAAGAGAGACAGGTCTATGAAAGCAATAAGTGCCTTGGTCCTATATTTGATTTCATTCTAAAACAACTATCAAAATGTGAAAATTTTAAATTGTAACTTTTCCAAATTAAACAATTTGTACTTATTTTTCAGTTTATTCGGAAGCTGATCTGCTTCCAAACCTCTGTCAAGAGTTCCTTTACTTTTCTGTCTGATAATATAAATTTCCAAGCCAATTTTCCTCTCCTACGTTTCCTCGGAAGATATCCCAACCTCTGCTTGGCATTCCCCATTTGAAACTGTCCCAGGAATGCAGTCAAGGAGGTGATTGATTCAAGAAGAGACATAAAAATTAAATTAAATCTTTCCATTACTATCTAGTCCTTTTAACTAACTCCTTGTTTGGACCAAACTTCCACTTTATCACATTGTTTATGCTACTTTTAATTCAAGTTATTAGATAATTCATTTGTATTGAATACAAAAATGACATCAACTTATTATAAGTGGACTATTAGCAAATTGACTCCTTTTTGAGTAGTGCAAATTTAGTGATAACAGCCTGGAAGTTTAGCTTAATTTGTGTAGTGTTTTGTGTAAAGGTACAATAATTTCCATGGTTGTCTCTCTGAAAATGCAGTGGCCTGTAGCATTGGTAAATTTGATGTTGAGAATAATTTGTACAGATGGTAAGGACAATCTCATTTGCCTTTGATATTTTCTAATCTTATATATTTGCAATTACAATAATGAGTTGTTTCAGTGAAACCAAATTCAATTGCAAGTCACTTTTAAATGTTTGGTCTACCTATTTGAATATTTTTAACTGCTGTCTTTGACAAAACCAGTCTCAACCAGTTGTGGTCTGTATTAGAACTTTAGGAAAGTATTCAATGCTTTATTTTGTTAATTGTGGCAAGAGTTGTCAATTTGAGGTTGCTGTAATTCTAGAATGCAATTCAAAAATAGTCAGGCTGTGACTTGAGCCCTATACTGGGTATTACGTAGTACACAGTCCTTGCACTGCATGACTCATTTTTGGCTACTTTATCCAGTTGCTAATCTCACCCTACTCTGTCCCCACACTTCACTTAACTTTACCTTCCATGTATGCGCGCAAAACCATATGCAAAACAAGACATATGCACACCCTTTTAATTACACCATGTGGAGGCTAACTCTGATGACTTCTCCATATCCTTTCTATTCTGCTTTTCCTTCTTCTGATCACAATCTCTTTCCATCCACTTCAACAATACCCCTGACTCCTACAACCATGCTGTTTGTTAGTTCAAACTCCCTTTCCTTTGACCCACATCTGCATTAATATTAATATCTTGTAAATGTACCATTAAACATTTTGTCTCCATGTCAGACATCTTGAGCCCCACTGCTATCATCCAGAACAACCAAATGCACAAATTCAAGTCCGTGGACCAAAATTCATATGTTTTATAGTTGGCTTGACCATCTCCTGCTGTAGCATAATTTCCACTTTTATATTAAGTTGCTTTAGTACTGTGGTGACCCTGGAACACAAGAAAAAACTTCACACCACTGCTAAAGTCACTTCTTCTGACTTCAGTGCCCTCCCTCTCCATTTTAACCTGTAGTACTAAATCGAAGAAACTCACAGGCTTATGTCTTTCCAAAATTAGATGTATAAAACATAGAATGTAGAACTGTATAGCACAGGAATTGGTCCATATCCCACTATTCTTTGCATATTCATGTGCTTATCTAAAAGTCCCTTAAAAGCCCCTATTGTATCTGCATCCACCACCACCCCTGCTACCGCGTTCCAGACTCCTACCACTCTGTGTAAAAAATTTGCCCCTCATGTCTCCAAAGCTTCCACATCCTTCCTGTAATGTGGCAACCAGCATTGAATGCAATACTCTATGTGACCTAACCAAAGTCTTATAAAGCTGCAACATGACATCCTGACTCTTGTACTCAATTCCCTGACGAAGAAAGGCAAGCATGCCATATGCCTTCTTTACACCCTACCTACTTGCGTGTCTACTTGCTTTGGATATCTGGTGGATATCTGCTTCTTTCTGCACCTGACATGTTATGACACATCTCTGGAGGTCTTCTGGTTCAGAGGTTGTCTGGCCCACAAGAATCCCATAGAAACAAAGAACGTGGAAATAGGTTTGTAAATGGTGTGCTGTTTACCTGCACAGAGTGCTGTCATTACCTTGAGCACCAGCACTTCTATTATGTTATAATTTCTAATTACCGTTAGTGATTATGGTTGGTATGGTGCACTGTCACAAATCTTCCTTTCTAGTTATTTTATAATCAACCTATTCATAGAAAGTATCATACGCCTTTGGATCAGGTGGGATTTCATTAAATCCCTACAGTGTGGAAACAGGCTTTTCAACCCAACAAGTCCACACCGACTCTCAGAGCATCCCAACCAGACCTTTACCCCACCTAATCTACACATCCCTGAACACTATGGGCAATTTAGCATGGCCAATCCACCTAGCCTGCACATCTTTGGACTGTGGGAGGAAGCCGGAGCACCCGGAGGAGACCCATGCAAACATGGGGAGAATGTGCAAACTTCACACAGTCACCAGAGGGTGGAATCGAACCCGGACCCCTGGCGCTGTGAGGCAGCAGTGCTAACCACTGAGCCACTGTACCCTGAACCAAGGTCAGGGCAACACTGCTCCATAAAAACCTTCACCCTCAGTTATTTTACTCTTATCTGAAATCGGATCTGACTCCAAATAGTTTGTGGTTTTGGACCAGACTCGGATACCAATATGTAGTAATGACACTTAAACACCCATTTCAGAAACCCTAATTACAACAATGTTATTATCCACAACAACAAAAACAGAAATTGCTGGAAAAACTCAGCAGGTCTAGCAGCATCTGTGGACAGAAAGCAGACTTAATGCTTGGGGTCCAGTGACCTATTTTCAGAACTGTTTGTGGCTTGGAAATGGTTGATGTATATGCTAAAGGTGGGGTGGGGGGAATGTCGTAACAATAGACGAAGACGGAACCCAGAGAGAGAGAGAAAACCAGTTAGACAGACAAAAGGATGGGTAATAGCCTGGGAGAATCAAAACTCAAGGACATTTTTTTGAGGTGAGAGCAGAAAGATTTTAAAAAAAAAAGGACAATTAGTTTTACACGAAGAGTAGTTCATGTGTGGAATGAACTGCCAGAAAAAGTGGTGGATGCAGGTACAATTACAACATTTAAAAGACATTTAGATAAGATCATGATTAGGAAAGGTTTGCAGGGATATGGGCCAAGCACAGGCAAGTGGGACTAGTTTAGTTTGGGAATATGGTTGGCATGGACGAGTTGGACTGAAGCGTCTGCTTCCATGCTGTATGACTCTGATGATAAAGGCTGGTGTGTGAGGGTTGAGGTAGGGACATGGGAGAAGTTGTTCAAGCTTCAGTTCTTTGGGGTTTGTTTTATTTAATGCTATGTTCAGCAAAATATACTGGATAAGTTTAAAGATACAGCTGAAAATTTGAATTGGTCTCATTCAGATCTCTCTTATGTATTTCTGATGCGGACTTCTTCAACCTCGCTAACTGCTTACTCAAGACGATTTGCAGCCTTACCTGAACCCTGAGGTGACAATTCTACTACATATCCCATCTGCCTGCCATCACCACTAGCTTGCACTTCCAGAGTATTGACTGCTTAAACCCAAATTTCAATCTGTCCCCTGCCAAAAACATCAATGTCTTCTTTGCCAACTTGTGGATTGTTTTATACTTCCTCCTGCAGTCTCCCAATTTTTGCCTTCCATGTATTTCAGTTCTGTCTTTCTAAGCAAGGTCTTGCATGTTCAGCACCCAGTCTATCCGCAGCTTTAGTGGCTCATTGTGCCTCAGTGAATTCACTTCAGGGTCTTCATCCTCATGTTCAAATCATTTGGCCATATCACTCTGAATAACCTTCTCCAACCATATGTCACAGCTCGCTCTCTTCAATTCTTTGACTGTTATTGACAATTAACCTCAACGTTCTCCATTCCACCAGTGAAAACTGAGCCTTCAGCCTTCTTGTTAATATGAGGTTCTCCTTCTTAATCACTTTGTCTCTTTGCTACTTTGAAAAGCCTCCAAAAAAATGTCTTCAACAAGGCCTTGGGTCTCTTCCCTATCACCATCTCCTCCACTTGCCATGTTCACATATCTTTGGAAAGTGCTCCAACATCACTTCTCCATGTGGGTGCAATATAAATCTAAGTTGTTAACAATTGGACAGAGTAAAACATCATCTCATGATATTGAAAATTAACTTACTGGAAACAGAAAAATAGGCTGCTGCTCCATTTGATTCATTGGATGTAATGCAATCTAATAAATCCAACGAAGGGCAGCATGAACTACATTTCCTCAAAACTTGTCAACTTTATTAATTTAAAGCAAATAGTTTCAGCTGCAGCTGTACAGCTTTTGTTTCATGTTTTCAATGTATGCACAAATTGAGAAGTCACATTGTCACTCTCTTTGATTCTTTTTCTATAAATAATGGCAATTTACTTTGCTCTATATCTTTGTAATGCAAGGAGCACGTACGTGTTGTCCTTCTACACCACTATAATCTGTGTTACTATTGTATTCAACACAAATAAATAAAGAATGTTTTGTGCTTTATTCTTAAATGTTGTGATTTTCTTTCTATATTTAAGAATCTTGAAGCTATTAGACCATTCTTTTTGTGATGGGGATTGGTATTTGAAGTCCTGACCAATTAATAATTCCAGCTTCATCAATGTTTATGCTTAGATTCCCTAAACAGAGAATCTGGCTCAGAGGTAGGACACTACTGCTGCACAACAAAAGCCGTTGTTTCCTGGGTCTGCTTTATGTTCTTTTCCATATCCAGAACTGCTCTTTCACACAACTGAATGGCTTTCCCACCACCAAATCACCGTGACCTGTTTTGTTTCCTGTTTTTAACTATCAACTACCTCAAGTAAAACACCCGTGTCAAGTCATAGAGATGTATAGCACAGAAACAGCTGTCAAACTCATCCATGCTAACTAGATATTCTAAATTAATCCAGTCCCATATACCAGCCTCCACCACTATCTCTTGCAGATTATTCCATTCACACATCACCCTTTGCATGAAGAAGTTGCCCCTTAGGTCCCTTCTAAATCCTTCCCCTCTCACCTTAAACCTACGCCCTCTAGTTTTGGATTCCCCTACCCTGGGAAAAAGACCTTGACTATTCACCCTATCCCTGCCCCTCTTGATTTTATAAACTTCTATAAGATCAGTCCTCAGCCTCCGACGCTCCAGGGAAAATAGCCCCAGCTTATCACTACAGTTCAAAACCTCCAGCCCTGGCAACATCCTTGTAAAGCTTTTCTGAGCCCCTTCAAGTTTCACAACATCTTTCCTGCAGCAGGGAAACCAGAAGTCAAGTCACCATTGTCTTACCAGACCATAAGGCTGGTCTCTTATTAATGGGAGATTTAATTTGAGGTTCACCACACCTCAAGTGAGGGGAGAAGTTGAGAAGGAGTGTCCTTTATGGTACCCTCAGCTGGTGTAGGAATTGAACCCATACTGTTGGCATCACACTGCTTCACAAACCAAATGTCTAGCCAACTGAGCTAAACTGACACCCACACCCATGCAGTCAATTAGGAATTTACATGAAATGCCCATTCTGGGCAAGAGCGGGGTCTGCTTTGTTCTTTTTCCTTCTTTCATTTACACCCGGAAGAGCTATTCACACAGAACCGAGCAATGGTCCCACCACCAAAATCACCATGACTTTTTGTTTGCATTTTTTTTCCTTTAACTAATCACCCGCGTAGTCAATTAAATATTTATAAAGTCCATTATGGTCAGAAATTTACATGCAAAGTCCATTATGGGCAACAGGGGGTCTGCTTTATCTTCCTTTATAATCAGAAAGGGGGTCTGCTTTATAAAGGGTTTAGTGGATGAATTCCAGTTGGGTGAGCCTGTTACCAAAAGAACTCATTTGCAACAAACTCCATAGGGAGCCTAGTTAGTGATTCCCCATGGGTCTAAAAAAGGGGTTTTCACACAGTATAATGTGAGCTAATCCACCTTGGTAACAAAACCAGGGAGGCAGATTATTATTTGAATGGCTATAAGTTGAGAGAGAATATGCAATGAAACCTGAGTATCCTCATACACCAGTTGCTGAAGGTAAGCACACAGGTGCAGTAGGTAATAAAGCAGGCAAATGATATGTTGGCTTTCGTAACTAAAGGATTTGAGTACAGGAGCAGGGATGTCTTGCTGCAAATGTACAGGGCCTTGGTGAGATCATACCTGGAATATTGTGTGCAGTTTTGGTCTCCTTATCCAAAGAAGAATGATCTTGCTACAGATGGAGTGCAGCGATGGTTTACCAGACTGATTCCTGGATGATGGCACTGACATTTTGAGGAGAACTTGAACTGGTTAGGAACAAAAACAAAGTTGCTGGAAAAGCCTAGCAGGTCTGGCAGCATCTGTAAAGGAGAAAACAGAGTTAACATTACAGGTCGGATGACCCTTCCTCAGAACTGATGGTGGCTGGGAAAACATCAGTTTATATGCAGAAAATAGGGAGGTGGGTGGGGTAGGGAGTAAACAATAGGATAGACCCCAAAGAGAGAGAAAGACAGTTGGACAGATAAAGGGGTTGCTAACTATCAGGCTGGAAGGGTGAATAGTTGTTAATGGGGACTGTTAGTGACTAACAACAGGGGGTGTGTAATGGCAAACTATGTGGTAACAAGGCCTGGTGTGAGGGGTACGGGGCTGGGACATGGGAGAGTTTAGGCACTAAAATTATTGAACTCAGTATTGAGTCTGGAGGGTGGTAGGGTCCCCAAGCAGAAAATGAGGAGCTGTTCCTCCAGCTTGCGTTGGGCTTCACTGGAACACTGTAGCAAGCCGGAGACAGAGATGTTGGACAGGGAGCAGGGTGGTGCATTAAAGTGTCAGGCAACAGGTAGTTCAGGGTCTTTTTTGCGAGTAGAACGTAGATGTTCTGCGATGCGGTCGCCAAGTAAATGCTTCGTTTCCCCAATTTAAAGGAGACCACATTGTGAGTAGCGAATGCAGTAGACTAGATTCTGGGAAGTGCAGGTGAAGTGTTGCTTCACCTGGAAGGTATGTTTGGGCCCTTGGATACTGGGGAGGGAGGAGGTAAATGGGCAGGTGTTGCACCTTCGCCGGTTACAGGGGAAGGTGCTGTAGGGCTGTGGGGAGATGTTGGGGGTGAAGGAAGTGTGGACCAGGGTGTCCCGGAGGGAACGGTCCTTGCGGAAGGCGGACAAGGGAGGGGAGGGGAATATGTGTCTGGTGGTGGCATCTTGCTGGACGTGGCCTAAATGGCGTCTGATGATCTTCTGGATGTGGATGTTGGTGGGATGGTAGGTGAGGATAAGGGGAACCCTATCGCTGTTGCGGGAGGGAAGAGAAGGGGTGAGGGTGGAAGTGTGGAAGATGGGTCGGACCTGGTTGAGGGCTCTGTCGACAACGGAGCTGGGGAGTCCTCGGTTGAGGAAGAAGGTGGACACTTCGGAGGCTCCCTTGTCGAAGTTGGCCTCAGCTGAACATATGCGACGGAGACGGAGGAACTGAGAGAATGGGATGGAGTCTTTACAGGAAGTGGGGTCTGAGGATGTATAGTCCAGATAGCTGTGGGAGTCAGTGGGTTTGTAATGGATATTAGTGGCCAGTCTATCCCCAGAAATGGAAACAGAAATGTCGAGGAAGGGAAGGGAGGAGTCAGAGATAGACCAGGTGAAAGTGAGGGCAGGGTGGAAATTGGAGTGAAATTGATGAAGTTTTCCAATTCCAGATGAGAGAGTGAAGCAGCACCAATGATATCATCGATGTATCGGAGAAAAAGTTGTGGGTAGGGACCAGAATAGGACTGGAACAAGGAATGTTGCACATACCCCACAAAGAGACAGGCATAACTAGGGCCCATGCGGGTACCTGTGGCAACCCCTCTTACCTGAAGAAAATGAGAGGAGTTGAAAGAGAAGTTGTTGTAGTGAGGACTAGCTCGGCCAAGCGAGGAGGGTGGTGGTGGGTGGGGATGGTTCAGGTCTTTGTTCCAGGAAGAAGCGGAGAGCCCTAAGACCCTCCTGGTGGGGAATGGACATGTAAAGGGATTGCACATCCATGCTAAAGAGGAGGTGGCTGGAGCCGGTAAACTGGAAGTTTTGAAACCGGCGTAAGGCATCAGATGAATCATAGATGTATGTGGGTAGGGATTGGACCAGGGAGAGAAGACTGAGTCAAGGTAGGAAGAGATAAGTTCTGTGGGGCACAAGCAGGCTGAAACAATGGGTCTGCCTGGACAGTCCTTTTTGTGGATTTTTGGCAGAAGGTAGAAAAGAGCTGTGCGCGATTGGGGGACTATTATTGGAAGCAGAGGAGGGAGATCACTGGATGAAATGAGATCCGTAATCATAGTGGATCCAATGGCCTGATGTAAACTGGTGGGGTCATGGTCCAGGGGAAGGTAGGAGGAGGTATTTGAGAGCTGGCGCTCAGCCTCTGCAAGGTAGAGGTCAGTACGCCAGACTACAACAGCACCATCCTTATCGGCAGACTTGATGACAAATTCAGTCTACGCTTCGTTTCCCCAGTGTAGAGGAGACCACATTGTGAGCAGCGAATGCAGTTGGCCAGATTCTGGGAAGTGCAGGTGAAGTGTTGCTTCACCTGGAAGGAATGTTTGGGCCCTTGGATACTGGAAAGGGGTGAGGTAAATGGGCAGGTGTTGCACCTTTGCCAGTTACAGGGGAAGGTGACGTAGGGCTGTGGGGAGGTGTTGGTGGTGAGGGAAGTGTGGACCAGGGTGTCCCGTAGGGAACAGTCCCTGTGGAAAGCGGACAAGAGAGGGGAGGGGAATGTGTGTCTGGTGGTGGAATCTCGCTGGAGGTAGCAGAAATGGTGTCTGATGATCTTCTGGATGTGGATGTTGGTGGGATGGTAGGTAAGGATAAGGCGAACCCTATCACTGTTGCGGGAGGGAGAAGGGGTGAGGGCGGAAGTGCGGGAGATGGGTCGGACCCGGTTAAGGGCCCTGTCGACAATGGAGCTGGGGAATCCTCGGTTGAGGAAGAAGGTGGACATTTCGGAGGCTGCCTTGTCGAAGTTGGCCTCATCTGAACATATGCGATGGAAACAGAGGAACTGAGAGAATGGGATGGGGTCTTTACAGGAAGTGTGGTGTGAGGATGTATAGTCCAGGTAGCTGTGGGAGTCAGTGGGTTTGTAGTGGATATTAGTGGCCAATCTATCCCCAGAAATGGTAACAGAAATGTCGAGGAAGGGAAGGGAGGAGCCAGAGATAGACCAGATGGTGAGGACTAGCTCGGCCAAGCGGAGGAGCATGGTGGTGGGGGGGGATGGCTCAGGTCTTTGCTCCAGGAAAAAGCGGAGACCCCTAAGACCCTCTTGGTGGGGAATGGATGTGTAAAGGGATTGCACATCCATGGTAAAGAGGAGGTGGCCGGAGCCGGTAAGCTGGAAGCTTTGAAACCGGCGTAAGGTGTCAGACGAATCATGGATGCATATGGGTAGGGATTGGACCGGGTTGGGGAGAAGACTGAGTCAAGGTAGGAAGAGATGAGTTCTGTGGGGCATGAGCAGGCTGAAACAATGGGT